GTCGATAGCATGTTAACCATTTGCTGAAACGTTTCATCCTGGGTTTGAGGGTCTCAGGGGAGCATTAGAGCAGCTATCCCACAGTGAGAGCGAGAGGCTGTGAGAGCTGCGGAGAGAGACGGGGAAATGCAGAGGCCGACTCAGTTCCTGTATGTGCAGAAAGCTTTTAAAGTGACGTCACGTGTTTTGTGTGTGAACTCGTCGGTGGTGCCGTCATTCTTCATTTCCCGGTCAGCAGGAAAATGCTCGTCTGTGAATATTACAAAACCATTGATGCAGAGTGATGCTGACCTGAATGAGTGTTTTGTCTCCGCAGCGCTTTACTCTCAGCCTGCGACAATACGAGCTTGGGAAAAAAACAGAAGTGTTGTAGCAAAGGTATTGATGTGCTAATCAGTGCGTGATGTCATCTGGCAACCTGTTACGACTTTCGGAGCTGCCAATGGCTACTTTTAACAAAAGAGCGAGCCACATGTGCCCTCTGGCAGACGGACCGCGTTGGCAGGCAGCAGCAGAAATGTGCACCGCACTCCTAAACATGTCCATCACACCGGCGCCAGGAGCACACAGCTGAGATTTGCACTTTTAGCATCGGTGGCAAGTTTGGTGGAAGGGGGGACATTTAAAAAAAACGCTCTTCAGCTCCATCCTGACTATGACTGTAAATACATTTGTCTGTATACTGCATGTCTTACCGGAGGATACCACTAGAGGGCACACCAGAGAGCTCAGGCTTTATGTAACTACCGGACAGATTCAAGGGATGTCGAGACGAGACATGGCAGCGTTCATGCTAACGCTAATGCTAGCTAGTTCCCTTTTAGTCTTACGGGTTGGCACACTCAGTACGTTTACATGACACACGAGAAAACCGAATTATCGCCTTATTCCGATTAAGACCAGACAACTGAAGAGCGTGTAAACACCTTAGTCCGACTATGATCTCTGATTGGAGATTAAGACACTCAGATAATGCGATTGAAATTCGATTTTCTCTACCAGCGTAGTTGGCGTATGATTAGACAATGCATGTGGAGGAGGACATGTTCACATCAATAATTTAATTTTACTCAGCTGATTGACTAATAAAGTCGAACATATTCATTGGCGTACGTAGCATCAGTGATGGAGGAGTTTTTAGAAATGGTGGCTCAACCTAACTTTCCATTGGGTTTTTAGCGTCTTCGCAAATTGCTACAGCGTGACTCTGATTTGCCAAACTTTTCAACTTAAGCAAAACAAACATCTTACAAAATGATTTGTGCCAGTTTGAATCTATTAAAATTTAAGCCATTATTTTTTACTGGCTTTTTTGAATTAGTGTGTATGTGGGTTTTGGCGCTTCTGCAGACAGCCTCTAGTGGACACTAAGAGAACTGCAGTTTTTAGCACTCCTGCTCCGGCCACAGCTAATGTGTAACATGTTATATAGAAAATATGGTTATTGATCCATGATTAACCTCAATTAAGTCTATACGCTGATGTTTTTAAAGAGTGCTTAAGTCTCTTATTAGTTGTTATTATTGAGTAAAATGTGCTTTTTAATAAGCACCATGTAAGATCGTTAAAGTGACTTCTTTACTATCAATTATTGCTCATTACAAAGATTGATAGCAGGTCAGTAGGTTCACTTTAAACACACTTCTGCTGCAACCCAAAAGTCCCAAAGTATCTATCATTTTTTGTACGCTCAGTTTTGTCATTTTTTAAAACTGTCGCTGCTGTTGTAAACTTTAAAATCAGGCAATCTAATCCAAGTCCAAACCACGTGAGGGTCTGAACCACGGCGTCTAAAACAAACGTATCCAGGAAATGGGTCAGGCAGCTGAAACAAAGCCTTGAAGAGAGAACACAGAAGACCCGGGCGATCTGGCAGCGAATGAGTGGAAATGGGCCGGTTTTATGTGCTGCAAGGCTAATGAGGGAAAGAATAGCAGGTGAACAAGTGGGCGGGGCAGGTCAGATGAGGAAATGGCGGGAAAGAGGTTAGCTAAGGACAGGAGGGAGTGGTTGGATCATGAGTGACAGGGGATTATTATGTTACAGGCAAAAACACAGCAGACAGCCCGGTGAGTGTAAGCCGGCTGGAGCTGTGACATGTATTTCAGTGTGTGTGAGATACTCTGGTGTTTGAGTCCCGCGTTACAGATTCATGATGCAGCTGCTAATCCTGAAGAGCAAACGTACATGTATTTACTGTAGAGGATATGCTGCTACCCGGAGCACAAAACCTCTCCAGCTCCATAATCTAAGAGCCATGCACTGAAGTAATCCACGGAGGCCCGAGTGAATCATGCTTAGCAGGGTCTGGTCACAGCTGACTGTGAGTCATCTTCATCCCATGACCGGCTGCTCTTTGGAAACACAAACCTCCGCTTTACCTTGACCAATAAAGCGTGAAGTGTGTCAATTTTCTGAATTTCTCCAGAGGGTGAAAAATCCCTCTGCTGAATACTGCTCTGCTGTTGAAGATACGGCAGAGCGGCAGGGTGACCAAAGGGTGAGGAGGAAGAGCCGGAGGGTCACAAGTTTGATCCCCGTGGAGAGTCAGCCGCACCTTTAATAACACACTTTAAAAGCTAAGGGTGTATGTGGTTCTCCTTCAGTGGATTTCTCTGGTTTTTACCACATTTTTAGTTTTTCACATGGTTGTTTTTTATTAGAGCACATTTGATTTAAATCGAATTCTTGATTTGAAGTAGTCGATTATGCAAGTCTGAACACTAACGCGTATTAATTTGTAGAAAGGAGTTCTTTGAAAGAAAAAATAATTATTTAACATTAGATTGGTCCTAGAAAATGTTGATAATCCTGCTGCTACTGTGGCAAAAACAAAAGAGAAGAAGAAAAACAGCATCAGGGATGAAAGGAAGTTGGAAAAAGGCGAAGAAATAAACAACAAATATCACAATGAGGAGTTTAAGCCGTTTATAAAACACACTGATGCCTTTAAATAGACCGATGAAGCATAGGAAACCATCTCCACCAAGTCAGCAACTCTTTTTTTAACGTCTAAGGGTTAGATGGTAAATGTTAAACTGTTGGAAAAGCTTCTAAAAGTGCATCTTATACATAAAGTTTGACAGTATTATGAGTTAAGGACACAATAAAACCAAAAACAATTGAAACTTTAATCAAATCTGGTGACAATAAATAGGAAATAATGCGTAGAAATTCGTTTTTTGGTCACCCAAGGTTTGACAAAGACTTACCAAAGAAAATAAAAGTCAAAATACAAAAAAAGAGTTAAATTTAACAATCAGCACCGATAGACTTCATCCTCGTTGGTTCCCATTGGCAAAGACTGGTGACAGATTTATCAGATACAGAGCAGGACGAGTCAGCCACGGACTAAAGTTGAAAAATCACTCAGTTCAGCTAATTTGACTCAGTTATCTAACAATCGACAATCCCTGAATGAATGGAAAAACTCCCAAATTACTTGGTTTTGTTGAGTTGCCTTGAAATAAATGAATGTCATGCTGTGATGAGATTGTTACGGAGGTGAAAAAAAAAGAATCTCAATAAGAAGAGGAAACCTCTGCAGGGTGGTGCAGAACCACAACACTAAACAGAACCTGCAGAATACCTCCTAAATATGCACCCAGACGAGTTGTGCCCATGCAGTCTGAGTGGATTTCATGCTGAAATAAAGTAGAATTGAACAAGTCAATGTCTCCGAGCCAGACAGTGAACAATCTATTCCACATGATTGCATCAGCCAAATGTGTGAGATGTAAAAAATGTAAAAAGATAAAGTATTGATTTCAGTTTAGGGGAGCGGAGCTGTTATCATCAGTGAGCGCTGAGCTCGGTTGTTCTAGCTTTAGCTCTGGAGATTTATCACCTCGGTTGAATCGTAGTGAGAGGGAAAGAGAAAGAGAAAGAAAGAAAGAGAGATAAATTGAAAGCTGATCCTTGGTGGAATAAGAAAGCAACTTAGCTCCAAAGTGAGATGTATGTGAGATATCAGTCGATGCTTTTACGCTGTGGAATATGATGGATGGCGAAAAATGAAAACACCAATTTATCAACAATTATCGAGGAGTAACTTTGCTGTTTGTTGACAGAAAAATAGTTGGATGTTAAAAACAAACTTCCAGCGTTTAACAGCCCTCCTGGTGATGGGCGGTGAAGACCTCCTCTATTGTCCTGTCGCTTGTTTTCTTCCCTCAAATTAACAGAGGACGGTTGTAATATCACCAGTCAAGTGCATGTCACGCCGTGATGAAGCCCAGCGCCCGTCGTCTCCTCAGCGAAGGGCCGGATTTCAAAGACAGGCTTGACTCGGTTCCTCATCTCCATTATGGCCCGCGCACTTAGAGAGCGCCTTGAATTAATGAGTCGAATCATCAGAATCTCGAGCTAACAAAGCAGAGAGAAGATGAGAGCAGGTCTGAAATGACTAAACTGCACCTCAGGAGTTTATGACTGAATGATATGACTTATATGCAGGGTCTGTTAATCCGGTTAATGTACAAAAGGAAATTTGTCCGTAATGGATTGTATTATTCTGCACCACCGCTTCATCGCCTAAAGGAATTGGATAGTGGATGGCTCTCAGACTTTGGTTTTCTTATATCCTCACCTTATTCATAAACTCTACAGTTAAAGCGTGTTAATGTTAGTCTTTCACCGAGCCGTTTCCAGGAGAGAGTTTCTCATCTTCATTTTTTGATGAATGTCCTTAAGAGGGCCTCAAACACGTACCAGAAAGAAACATCTACTCTGTTACGTGTTAAAAGGATTTTTGTGTGTCTATAGTTTATTATTTGTCATTTCAAGTAGAAAACAGTAGTTGTGCCAATGGTGAAAACCATTTAGCATGGCAACAGTGGAAGAGGCTTCTAGATGGCAGGCATACCAGAAGGATTTGATGGATGGTTCCGCCTTCTGTCTATATACAGTCTATGGTCTCATCTTGATCAATTTGTCCTCTATTGTTAAAGTAAACAAACCCTCCCTGCTCGGGTTGGCTGTTGTGGTGCGAAGAGTTCGGCGTTGAGCGTGTTGCGGATTCGCATCATTCACGTTTCTTGCTCAGTTCGGTGATTCTCTCCACAGAGTCACAGTTCTTTTTTTCCATTGAAGTTCGATGATGTCACAGACCTTAGAACTCCCTTGATGTTCATGTTGATATGACATCAGATTCTACAGATTCTGGCAGGCTTCCAAAAGGCTGGCCAATCAGAAGAAAGTGGGCCTTAAAGAGACAGAAGCTACATCGATGATTCTTGCATTTTGCAGCTGAGTTCATGATTCGTTGAAAAATGATTCTCCGGTGACGATACCGTACTCTTGTTTGCGTGTCGCAACCCGATCCATCACGGAAACCTGATTTGTACTGTGCATGTGTGAAATGTACGTCACTTCCTCTCCTGGCATTTCAATGTATTTTAGGACAGTGAGTCGCTTCCTACCTGATCCATACTGCACAAGTGCAAATTAACTTCACCTTAAAAACTTTATTTAAACTACTGATCGTTTCAGAAACAAGCTAACGATGTAACAGGCTAGCTACGAGAGGCTCCAGAGCTAATGCCGAGGCATTCGCCAGAGCTCCTGCCCAGCACGGTGAGACCTTTTGGGCCACAGAGAGCGCCACCAACCGGACCAATTCATGGTTCTCTGACTTTTCAAAGTATCGAGGGGAGGTTTATTTAATTTATTCTATAATTAAATTTATTAATAAGAAGCCTGCACATTACGGACAATGAATTTCAACGTTTTATCTTGCGTTTCAATTTCAACACTGAAATATTCACGTTCATTCAAGCCTTTTATAACTACGTTGCAATTTTACAATTTAGCTGGAGTAGGAACCTTTAATTGTAAAACAGGGCGCCATTCTCTTGACTCTCTGGCTCTCTGCTTCAGTCGGGGGAAGCACGCCGTTCAGGAGAAAAGAAAAGCGTGTGGCTGTTATAAACTGAAGCATCTGACTATAGCGAGCTCGCTGATGCTGATGCTTTCGCCTATGGGCAGTAAAATTTGGGTTTCTGGGACTGATCAGAGAGCGACATTGCTGCTAGCCCCGCCCCTTAAGTTCATAACTAGCTTACTCATGCAATTGTTTTGCATGATCTCCTTTGTCAGGAACAGCGGAACCAGATAAGCACAAGATACTCTGCTATGTTGAACACACTTTGTAGTCCAGACCTCAGGTAGGTTGTTGGTTTATCACCACACTGGAGGTAAGGAAGTATTCAGCAGCACTGAGCGTTGGTAGCTTTTGAAGTGCAGAGAAAAGAAATGGACAATTAGCCGGCTGCTAACCTGAAATGCTAAATGTGCTAACTTAACAAGCTCAATGACCCGGATAATGCAAACCACTGCACACATGAGCGCAGCTGCAGCTGAAAGCTTCCTCTGTTTCTGCTCGATTGCTCATCCTGTCTTGTAAATCCTTAGGGGGCAGGGTGAGCTAATGATCTAAACAGTAGTCAAAGTAGTCCTACAACCGTGACACTGTTCAATATCTATTTTCAGCTCAGTGTTAGTCTTTGAAAAGTTCTTAGATATAACCTGGCTGTCAAAGTCACGCACTGCAAATATGACAGTTGTGTTTTTGCCCATCGTCCTTCCCTCTGCAGTCTGTGATTGAGCAGCTGCACGGAGCAGAAGTAGAAATGGAGTCACTTTCGAGAGCTAAACTGATTTGTAGGTTACAAAAATCTGCACGTACCGTCCAAGTAGCACACATCCTGTTGTTCACGAGAGGAAGGAAGCCGCCGTATCCTCTCAAATGGGAAATGCAGAGGACGCAGATGAACTGATAGAAAAAACAGGTAGTGTGAACAAACATTAGACAGTGCAGTTGAGGATATGGAGGCAGAGTACAGACGCTGACAAGAGGTGGAAAGATACTTAAAGGTCTATGCAGCCAAGATACGAAAACATGTCAATAGTTCTGAGTCTGAATCTTATTCAGGGTTGTTTTACTTTGCAGTTCATGTTACAACTTCTCTTTCCATATTCCTGTATTTTAGTTCTGCCTGCTTCTTTTCAGAGTCAGAGAGATGAATATGAATGACACATTATATTTGTGAGTAGACTGACAAAACGGAGTGTGCACAGAATATTATACTGAGCAGGTATGAATCTTTGTAGCTTTTTTATCTTCACAAAGACGTGAATTTTTCAAATGATAAAAAATTGGCACCAGGGTAGTAATCGCACAGAGCGTGCAATCTGGAGAAAAGAAATCTGAAGAACTGTTGAAGAATCTTTAAAAAGAAATACTGATGTGCTGTTTGAAGCAGGTAACCTCCAGTGGGGAAAAGGGAAGCAACTCTGAAGTGTGGAAAAACCGCAGTTCCTCCAGTGTCCACTTGAGGCTTGCTCCAAAAGCTAACCCTGATTTCCACCGCACCCGGAATGGCTACGAAAAAGCCGTTTACACCGATCGTAGCTGATCATAACCATTCGAGTTGATGTGTCAATTTCCACCAGCTTCTTTCCCTTCCGCTGCAGATCGCCAGACTTTGCAACTGAGCTCAAGAGTTCTATTTTTTCTGGACGCCGGAGCATGCCGGATAAATTCAGCACAGATTAACCCGTGCTGGAAAGGAAGTCGGGCACAGACACAAAATAAAACATCCGTTTTTGAGGAGATGCTGAGTCTAGAAGTCTAGAAGTAGATTTCCTCCTCTGGAATGACACAATCTACTGCTTATATGGTTAGCCTCTGTGGCTAAAGACAACTTGTTATAGCGCGATTGCACGTAGATTTGTGGGTTCTTGTGAGTTCTCTTGATTCCTGCTGTCCGTAATCCACCATCAAATCCACCTCACAAACGGATCTGTTCGGAATTGGCGTACGGTGAAAATTGCCGTTCTGGATCAGAGCCATTCCAGATGCGATGAAAATCCCGGCAAAGGGATCTCCATTAGCACCCATGTTAAAATGCAGCTTGGTACAACAAACAGGTCTAGGTATGCCGCTCATTGAATTGTTTTCTTTGCCCATGTCTACGTTGATCCAACTTGAGGTTGAGTTCGGGCTGGACGATAAGACTATCAAAGTAACTTTCACAAACTCTTAGTCAATATTCCAACAACAAAAGAATGATTTTATTTTGGAAAGTTTGTCAGGAAGTTGTTTTATATATCATCGAGATATCTGAGCTTTGGCACTTTGTGTGATGGTGGTGAATGCTGAACAGGGTTCTCTTCAGGTCAAAGATCCATATGAGTTCCCATAGAGAGACCTTCCAGTCCACAGAGACCCTCTATTCTGACTGTTGGGTTTTATTTGAACCTTTGTTTACTCAGGGAAGTTTGGCCTAGCTTTGCTGTTCCCTTTTAAAGCCCATTCATTCATGCCGGGCGGCCACACCACGGTGCTCCACTCAGCGATACTGAACAGGATCCACTTCATTGTCCCCATTCAACTCCAAGTCCGGCATGCTTGAGGAGTGTACATCATGGGAGTTTTTTTCCTGCCCTCGTCCTCCCACTCAGTCCAGCCCCAGCAGCTGTGAATGTGATGATAGGAGCGAATGACCCCAGAGGACCCCACAAGGCCCACCCCCATCCAGATCCCAACCCCGGCTGCCTGTCCCATAATGCGAACAAACAGGAACGTGACCCTTTCCTTCCTTCCTTCCCACTGTAACGCAGACTTGGAATCCAGCCCCCCCTTTTCCTCCCCACTCCGAGGGGAATCCTCCACCCGAACAGCGGCATTCCACATCCTGTCTGAGTGACTCATTCAGGGGGAAAAGATGGCTTGTGGAAAAGCTAACCATGAGACACAGCTAGACGACAGACACCATCCAGAAGCGAAAAAATGATTCACGAGAAGAAAACCTAAAGTTCCACTCTGTAACCGAAGTTTCAATTAATGCATCTCAACGTTTTAAGTGTCCTTTTGGCCTCACAGGACTTAAGGGGGGCAGAGTGAGCCAAAAGAAGCCTCTCTGGATCCAAGAGGGCTTAATTATTCATGCAAAATTTGGCAAGCATCATGGCCAAACTGAAGTTTTTGGAATTCCCCAAAAATGTAAAAAGACAAGGAAGCTGCCTTTACTCAAACTCTGAATAAATCACATTATCATCTCATGATAGCTTTTTATAATTGGAGTCTCTGCAGCAAAGTGTTTTACATCGAAGTCTTCTGAAAAGGCACAAGGATACAGGGTTAGTGGTATGGGGGGTTGGGTTGTTGGGGGGTTATGATGCCTCTTTCTAAAGCTGAAGCAATTTGCGTTTGTGGTTTGGAGGAAGAAGACTAATAGCTGGCCGACTGCTCTCTCTGTGAGCTTGTTTGCACCACAGCTTGATTCACAGTTTTTTTTTTCTGAGTAAGAAAACACCCCGTGGGCCTTCGCAGAAAAAATTAATGTGAAAAAATAAAAAATGCAAATTCCACCCACCAAAGACATTTGAGCGTCCGTCAGAGAACCTTCTCAGTTGTTTCTCAACATACGTCTTCATGTTAGCGTTCCTCCGATAATTAGAACCTGGAACAACCACGTTTATTTTTTTTGTCAAGTCATTGCGTATCTGTCAGTGTAAACACAACACACAGCTCTACCAGAACAAAAAGGAATAAAACCCAAACTCTGCTGGCTCATAAGATGCTGAATTGACTCTCTTGTACCAGGTCCAACAAGGCTGGGATTTTGGCTCGACAGACTGCCTTCACTCCAGACTTCTTAAAAACCGTTGGGCTTGTTGCTTTAACCCTCGGTTCCTGTTCACTTGAAGCGCCATCCATCCTGTCCCCAAAACAGACATGCAGATCAGTGTTCATAGAATAATCATTTTTAAACATTTTTTTCTTACTTTTTTGGCTTAAATCTCTTAAACTTCATCCCTAACCCTAAAAAAAGTAGTGAATAAAAAATTTGACGTATTACCCTTTTAATGCCAGTTTTTGTGCGCCATGTCACGGTCAAGAACCTTGTTTTTAATGGAAGTCTATTGTCCAATTTGCAGACAAAGTAGGGTGGATGGAGCTAAAATGTGGCGACAGAGAACTAAAGATGAAACAGAGTTTTTTTTTTTAATTTAAAGATGAAAAAAAAAAAGACAAATGTCCTTAAAACAGACATAGTGGAACCGAGGGTTAAGATATCCCTCCTGTCTTACTTCCTGATGCTTTTCAGCTGCAATAAACAAGATAACTTCTCCTCTGGGTGGCCTGAGATTACTATATCTGTGAGTAAAGTTTTACTAATTTTAATTTATCGTTGCTATTTTTATTTAGATGAGCCTGAAGCCGACTGAGGCAAACTTTGGTGGTATCAGGATTAGAGCTCGCAGTGCAACTCTGAGCAGCAGAGAGTGGAGATGCTGATTGTTACCCCCAGTTTCCACCGCAACAAAAAGGCCTTATCCGCCGATTGTTCTAGAGTTAATGTGTCAATTTCCACCAGCTTCTTTCCATTCCGCCGCAAATCGCCGAATTCCGCAGCTGATCGCAAGAGATCTGTTTTTTCAGGATGCCAGAGCATGCCGGTTAAATTCAGCACAGATTAACCCGTGCTGGAAAGGAAGTCAGACACAGACACAAAATAAAACATCTGTCTTGTTTTCAAAATAAAACACTCCGTATTTCAGACCGATGTATTTCACACCATGCAAACGGGCGGAGACAAAGAAGTGAATGGTCTAGAAGTCTAGAAGTAGATTTCCTCCTCTGGAAGGACACGATCTACTGCTTATATGTCTAGCCTCTGTGGCTAAAGACAACATGTTATCATACAATTGCACCTGAATTTGTGGGTTCTTGTGATTTCTCGCGATTCCTGCTGTCAGTAATAGGAATTGGCATATGGCAAAAATCGGCGCCTTTCCGTTTGCAGTGGAAATCCCGGATTATAGTCTGCTAGGGTTTCTCATTTTATTACATCTAAGGGGGCTAAAGGGTTAAATTTTATACAGGTCTTTGTTTGAGGGTTTACAGTAGTCTTTTAAAAGGATCACAAAAAGATCTTTTATTCTCGTTTAATGATGAAACAATTATTTCTTACATCAAGAGGTTAGCTCACGAGACAGTTTATCACCCTCTCTGAGGAAGTGCGATCTAATGATGTCACACAGTTATGTTTTCCTCAAGTACACAACGGATAATCTGAGCAGGAAATTACAGGACGGCTCTGCAGAGTGACACCCGGCTGTCCATTCCTGTGGGGAAACCCCCTCCACTGTAAATGCACGCTCTCCAGCCCGGAGCAGCGGCGCTCTTCTGGTCACGTGTTCCTACTGTATGAATCACTCCAGTGCAAACAGTGAATGAGAGAGCTCAGCGGGAATAATAGAGCCGTATTTACACAAGCTGTGGGTTTTAATGTTAGGGTAATCTTGGGCGTTTGTGACTCACTCTGTCCTTAAACGTGTAGTCGCTGCAGCCGCACGGGTAACTAGGCAATCATGTCGGTTTGCTGGAGTCCTGTGTGAGTCACATCAGTCGGCCTGCAGAAGTCTGAGTGCATCTCGTGTTTGGAGGACAGCAGTGTTGCATTCCAAAGTAATGGACTCTATATTGGGCTCTGGGGAGTGTGTATGTGAGAGTGTGTACTTCTCAGTATGTGGGCTGGTATTTCAGTTCAGATGCATGTGGGAGCTTTTTGTGTGCGTATGTTTGATCTCGTACAAGAATGGTAACCATTTGTGTTTGTTTGTGCCACCCTGGCTCACACTGACAATGAACACTGTGATCATGGGCTTGTGTGTAGGCTGTTAGTGTGTGTGTGCATGCATGTGTGTGTGTGTGTGTGCGCTGGGGCAACCAGTGTGGCAGCAGGGCGCTCCCCAGAGCCGCTGAGTCCAACAAACAAGCTGTGCTGTGTTACAGCTGCTGCAGGACTGTACAGACATGACCTCGATGAACTGTACGCTGGGAAATACAATGAGATACACGACAGCGGCAGAGCTTCACTCAAGTCTAACTAGCAGGGCGTCTTTGAGTGAAGTCAGGACTTGGATTAAAACGTACAAAGAGGTCTGCAACACCACCTCAAACCGACATGATGGGACAAGCTCCAGATATCCAGATTTAGCCGTTTTCACTCTAACGTACCAGAGAGTCGAAAACATGATAATTCCTTTGAATCGGTGTAACCGTGGGACAGTCAGGGCAACCATGTAGATGAACACCGAGGCTTCGTATGAAATGTGCAACTTTATGGTTTTTAGGTGCAACTTTTCAGGATGGTTTAAATATGACAAATGCGGACAGCTGCATGCAAATACTTTTAGAATTTTTCGTGACTTTATTTCACTTTTATCATACATAGCTGCATCTTCCCGATCTTTCTGCAGATATGATGGAATAGTGTCGTGTTGTTCATAAATGTTTCGTTCAAAAGAACGGAACTGTGGAGTGAACAAGGTGACGCTGAGACCTGATTCGTTCCTTTCTCAGTTCAGCTGAGCTCAGCCGCGAGCCTGGTGTGTCGATCAGGAGTGGAACTGCCGCCTTTGACTCTTTGGCGTATGACATATAGCCAGCAAGCGAGCGGGCGGGTAGGCGGAGTCTTGAATGATCCACTTTTGTCACCTCAGAACGACCTCAGCGGCTAATGGCAAGTTTGAAACAGTACCCAAAACTGCTGCCACTTTGTAGACGCAGATATCAGTTTGTTGATTGACAACTATGAATGAACACATGTAGAATTTTGTACTTATAAAGAAAGTGTGAAATAACCGAAAACATGTTTTATATTCTAGTTTCTTTAAAATAGCCATCCTTTGGTCTTGATGACAGAAGTACCTTGTCAGGGTTACTTCAGGCACTCCTGTGAAGTAAAAACCATTTCAGGTGACTACCTCATGAAGCTCATTGTGCAGACACGTGAGAGCTGCAGGTTTGGGAGAAACGACCCAAAGTTTGAGCACTTGATTTGAAAACCACTTCATGACCCACTTTTGTCTTAAGCACATGATTCTACATGTGTTCATTCATAGTTTTGAGAATCTACAATTTAAATAGTAATGAAAACAAAGAAAATGCATTGAATGAGAAAGTGTGTCCAAATTTTTGGCCTGTACTGTATATACTTCTGACGTCTCATGTATCAGGCAAAATCATCTTCGTTTAGGTCCTCTATTTGTAAAAACATCAAATACTATGTAAGTGCCATAGAAGATTGACTCATCATAGTCGACAAGTTCATCATTTTAAATAAGAACTTTTTTTCCTGGATGATCTTCAAAGATTAGACCGAGCTATAAAACCCCAAACTGCTCATTTCCACTCCTCCATTTAACATGCGCATAAATTAGTTCAAGGTAAAACCACCGGGGGCGTTTCCATTTGCTGAAGGAGAATTAAACATTTATGGCGCCTTAAATGCACATTAATCAACATCAATAAGTCTTAATTAGTATTGAGTAACATTTACCTTGTTAATCACCCCAAAGCCATGCGCCCTTGGTGGGAAATTCATTCCCCGTCTCCTGTGGTCGTGTCACGCAGAGTTACCCGCTCTGCAGCGAGATGACGGTGCCAAAGGCTTACCAGGGCAGTCTGTCACTTTGTCCCGACTCTGAGCCTCGTCTACCGCCGAGCCCCCCCCGCTCATGTTGACCGTTGCACATTCAAAAGTGTGAAACGCTCGAGATGTGACACTTCAACACCTACTGAGCTGCTCTCACTTTTCACTTTCTTTTAAATCTGGAGGACGAGAAAGAATTTCTGCTTGGAGTCGACTTTTACACGACCAAGAGCCAAATGAAGAGTGACAGACGTGCCAGTCAGGAGAAAACTCCCAGAAAGTCTGCAGGTAAGAAAGTCAAACAATGACCAACATGTTCAGGGATGCTTAAAGGGATGTTTCAGACTTTTTCTTTAATGCCGATCAGCTCGGCCTCTTTAGTCAAACTGCCAGGGGGATTGGAGTTTTCTGAAGACATGAAGTCTGCCACAAGGTTTCAATCATTTTGGTTTACTTGGCTTTACTGATGACTCTCTGATGGTCCATGGTGGTTACAGACTTCAGCCTCATGTGAACTTCTGCAATATTTGATTTAACTGAAGTCTGCTTCTTGATTCTGCACAGTTCCCCTTTCAAAATGTAACTATGCATCAAAACAACATGGACCGCAAGCCCCGTGATTAGTCATCTTGGTGACGGACGTTTTCAGGAAGTGATGAAATAACGAGCGTCGACTACTGCTGCGTTCCAGTTGTCCTCGGAAGTCAGGATTTCCAAGTCGGAAATTCATCTGGAATGCCCCCCTGATGTCAACGTCATAATTTAATTTGGCAGCGCAGTGGATCAACAGTAAAGAGTATCAGTAAAAGCTCTCGTAATGTTTTATTTATTTGCACTTCTGTTTCGTTTTAGTGAAATCAAGTAAGTGGTTTATGTTGTACCACCCAACGTCTAACTGTGAACACGGTGCTATGGTGTTTGTAAGAGTCAAATACTGTGTTTACAACTGGTATCACTAACAACAGCTAATGACAGCTGACAATTGAAAAAAATGCTAACAGCGGGTAACTGTAGGCGTCCATCTTGGTTTTCCGACTTGTTTACTGTAACGCTGTCGACTCGGGTGTAGCGTCATTCCCAGCTCCGACGTCCGAGGTAACTGGAACGCAGCATAAGCTCTACTGATTTGCATTTAGTTGGAATATTGCAGTGTGACGTGGACACTACAACACAAATATATATCATGCTAATAACTGCGAACCTATGGCGTAGTTCAGACAGGTAACTCGGGATCCTACCACTCTAAAGTTACTATAGAAATTTCTCCGTTTTATCCCTTTAGCACATGTAGCAAAGTTTTTCCCATGCAAAGTCCAGTTTGCACAACGGCGTCATCGGCGTCATCAGAATCACCGTTTTCTTTTTAGTTTGGTCGTATTTGTGTCTCTTTAAAGCCTGTAGACCAAACAGCTGCTCAGCGCGCTACAGACAGATTTACAGTCAAGACGAAGCTCCGTCTGCTAAAACTCTAGCCTAGCTTGTGTGCCGGTTCCCCCAGCAGTTTCTTGTGAAAAACACCAAACTGACCGGTTAATACACTTCTGTAACTCAAAGAACCTTCCTTTAAAAATGACAGAAATGTCCCTTTAATCTGCGTGTGTAAATGTACGACAAAGTGAGGCGGCTCCTCATGAAGTCTGCCTCGGGTTCCTCCTTAATCAGTTTAACAGTCTCAGAGATCAGCGCTCGAACACATTAAACCCTTTTACTGCGCATACACTTTAATAAAAGTGTGTGTGTGTGTGTGTGTTTGTGCGTTTGTGTGTGTTTGTGTGGGCATGTGGTGGATGGCTGGTGCCAGGCTGGATCTGCACAGGACGGAGTGACACCGGTGGCGGGCTAATGACACGAGCCTCAAGCTGTTCTCACACCTGCCATAGATCTACCTCGTTCAGCTGACATTAACATTGAGGAAAGGGGCCGTCTTCAAAACAAACACACACACACACTTTCACACAAACACACACACACACACACACACAAGCCAGTCATGCAAATAGAGCAACACATGCAGATAGACACTCAGTGCTACACCCACAGACTCTTGATCGCTCGCACTCACACAAACAAACAAATAGGCCATTATCCTTGAGAGCCCAATTAGGCGGTAAATGGGAGAGCGGAGTTGTTAGAGGAAGAGAGGGAGGCACACATGATTGGACGACATGATGGGGCAAAGAGTGCGAGGGTTCAAGGTAGCGTTTAAAGATCTGACACAGACTTTAGACGCACGCTGCAACGAAAAACAATATCATGAACTGTTGGAGTTTAAAGTCACGATGTTTCCCCTGAAGAATTCAATCGGCATACAAGGGGCGCCAAAAGACAGCTCTCCGGTTTCCAGTCCCATTCCCTCCTTGTTTGCACACAAGCAGCTCACGCTTTCGGTCAGAGGTGGTCCCCAAAATGTTCGTAGCCAGGCCGACCAATTACAGAGCTGCTGATCCACGTCATTTTGACACCTCGCAGGTCTCTGCATTGGGTACAGGGCCGCACAGACCTGCAGTAAAGGCTACAGCGCAGATCCAATGTAGACGTATCGACCAGAGCTTGACGACCATCCAACGACTCTATTCTCCATTTTCGATGTTGGTTGTTGCAAACAGTGCCAAACTAGTTTTGAAGTAAATCTCGTCCTCTAGTTCAATGGTTGGAGAATCGCTGATGATGAATTGTAATATTTCATGAATGAAGAAGACTAAAAGGCGCTAAACAGGTGGGCTAGTATACTTTAGTCCCGGTATTGTCTATGTGTGGTAAACAATGGTTTTTACTTCCTCATGTCTATTTCCTCTCATGCACAGATGAACTGAACGAGGGACGTCAAAGGTGGATTATGTAAAGTGTATTTCTGAGGACTTTAAACCATCCTGATCTGACGGTGACTCAGACAGAGATATGACAGTTAGCAGTTGACTTGGGGCGGCCATATTGAAAGGACTGGTCTTACACTTTATCGCGGTCTGATGGAGAAGTGAATCGACACCACATTCATGTTTTTTCTGCTCCACTCACTTCTCGTTTTCAGAAGTTGTAGTTTTCGTGATTTATGGAGATTTATGCATCAGTTTCTGTTCTTCACAGTAGATCTGTTTTATGTTTTGAGGATGTGAGTCACAGGGGAGAGCAGTTGTTATGACAGGCCTGGCTTACACTGATTACTTTAGCTGTAACCAGCATTATGAAACTGCTGAATCAGCTGGTTGGGTTTCTTAGTCATCGATGGGAGGTCTCTCAGTCGACGGGGAACTCGACAGATCTGCAGTCACGTTTGGTTTGGGCTCTCTCATGTTCAGTCTTGGATTCTGGTCCTGCCACATCTTGCAGAAGTTACTCTGTTGTGGGCTGGGATGGATTTGATGAGTGATGGGGGTGTTAGGGGTGAGATATGCTCAAATATCGAGTAGTCTGTCCCCATTATCTCCTTGGTTTTACACATAGAGGTGAAGGTATTTGTTCAAACTCGGGGAGAAAGTTGCTTTCTCTGCTGGCTCATCGTAACCTGACCATTGAATAACACTGTTAACCTCAGAAATACAGTGAAGATTTTCCACAAACATGGAGGGCATACGCTGCTATTAATGTCATTCTTAGCGGCCAGCTGTGACGTTTGAATATCTGAGAAGCACTTTTTAGAAGTTGTTGAGGTTCTGCACCACAGATAGCCTTCATGCAGTCCAGTCATGGTCTTTTATTTTGCTAAGTAGCTCATAAACACTTCCTTTGGAGGTGGGATTGCGACTAGTAGGTTGTCTTGTCTTGCTGCTTGTGGATTTTTGGCTGCTTCAAATTGGGCGCTACCTCCAAGAAAACGAACAAAGAAAACCTCACCAGGGATTTCCACTACATCCGGAATGGCCAATTCCCACCTGATCCATTTGTGAGGTGAATTTTGTGGCGGATTATGGACAGCAGGAATCGCGAGAACTCAAAAGAACCCGCGGAATCACGTGCAATCGTGCGACAAGTTGTCTTCAGCCACGTAGGCTAACCATATAAGCAGTAGATTGTGTCCTTCCAGAGGAGGAAATCTACTTCTAGACTTCTAGAATCAGCATCTCCTCATCCATGGTGTCATCGGGGTGAAATGACGTCTAAAAACCTTTCACTTGTTTGTCTCTGTTTTATTTTGTGTCTGTGCCCGACTTCCTTTCCAGCACGGGTTAATCTGTGCTGAATTTATCCGCCATGCTCCGGTGTCTGGAAAAAGTAGAACTCTTGTGATCAGCTGAGGAGTCCGGCGATCTGCAGAGGAACAGAAAGAAGTCGGTGTAAATTGACACGTTAACTTGAATGGTTACGATCAGCTGCGATCGGCGGATACGACCTTTTAGTAGACGATCAGGATGCAGTGGAAATTTGGTGGTTAAACCTTTTCCAAATGAAGCTAACCATGCTTTCTGTGTCTGTGTTGATCTTCAGCTGCTCCTTGTTGGTCACTAAGTTGAAGCCTCGTTAACGGCACTGAGAAAGTTTAACCATGAAAATAAGGAAATAGCAACATGACGCATTTTAACTGTTTATAGACAGTCTGAGGTCCAAAACCATCTATCAGTGTTCACTTTGAAACTTCCAGAGATTTTAAAAACACAACAGAAGTGAAATCAGAGGAGAGTCAGCACTTTACTTCACAATAATGGAAGAAGACTCCTTTTGTCTCGACTTCCCTTTTTTTCAGAGAGGAGCAGCTGGATGTTGCGTAAAGGAAGTGGTCATCGCTCAGATGCTCCTGAATCCAGACTCAGCAGTCTCTGGTTTGCTTTCTTGGAAGATAAATGAGTCGCTTGTTTTCCCTCTAAATCTGACTAAAGCGAGACTTGCTTGGACAGCGACATCACAACCAAACATGCAGAGGAGCGGTTCGAGTGTTTAACCTGACATGAGCATGTGAAACAGCAGATGACCGATTAAAAGAGGCCAAGAGCTTTAAATCTGCGCCAAGTGGAGCTCCGACTTCTGGAGGAACTTTTTATAATTTTATCTGCGCTCTTGAGCGAAACCACACTGGTCCTACATGTGGTGGTGCTGCAAAGTCACACAGAGTGCTCTGTTGCAGACTTTTACTACAGTGAGAAGGAACTGGGAGAGCCTGGATCCATCATGCATCTGCTGGTCTCCCGCCTGAGCGCCGTTTAATCTGTTCCATGAGAAAATCTCTGTCGTCGTAGTAGCGAGGGCGAGCCAAGCCGAGTTTTGGCAAGGCTTCTTGAGGACAAAGTTACATAACCCTCCCTCTTTTTTTTCTCCTCCTCCTCCTCTCACTCTCTCTTTCTCTCTGTTCCCTTACAGCCTGTTTTTCTCCCTTCAGTTTGGGCCTTCTTTTTTTTTCCCCTCTCCTGCTACAAACTTCTCTTTTTTTGTCTCGTCTTACTTTGATTTGCTGCTGTTCTTTTCTCGTCTGCTTAGTTGAATGTGCAGGACTCTGAATACACACACACACACACACACACACACACACACACACACACATTCCTGCTCCGTCTTTCTCTGACAAAAAGTCTCGAGCCTGAACTCAGACAGCAGGGAGCAGTTACTCAATGTTTTGCAGCAACTCCGTGTTGCATAACAGGAGTCGACTCATTCATTCACTCCCTCTCTCACTCGTACCGCACGTAGTTCTCCTTTTCTTCCCCTCTTCTTCCTTTAAGGTGCTTCATGAACCTGTCGGCTGCAAAGCTCCACAGAAAGACTGATTTTCTTGTGCAGATTTGAAAACTCTGTGACTTGCAGCCTGATGGACTTTGCATGAAAAATGAAGTGCGAGTACCAACATGCAACAGCAGATAAACTTTTTGGAAATGTTCAGAAAAAGTTTGCATGAATCCACAAACTTCAGACTCCTGTACTTTGTCACAAGACTTTTTGAGGATTTTGGTGTCCAGATCCCACAGAAAGAGGAAGTAGCTCCTGGATTTGAGAGTCAGCTGTTGTAGAAACTTTATTGCAGCAGCTGAACGTTGTTGGTTTTTGGAGTCAGATCTTGCAGGTTTAACTGTAACATGCAGAAGTTGGGCTGATGAGACGGTGTCTCAAACTCCTCGGCTGCAGCTCAAACAGATACTGTATGTTTGTTGAGGTGACTGTGAAAGTCATGCATGCTTGAATTGCCTGCCTGGACTAGCTCCTAGGTGTCCATCCATGTTTAACAATACTGATCACGGATCAATGAAACTGATCGATGAAAAAGTTCACGACTTAATCCATCTGTTGTCCAAACAAGAAACAAAGAGGCGGAATCATGGTGGCTCGCTAGCCGTCGCACTAACAGCTACACCTGTCAGTCAAATTAGCCACGCCCCTAATAATGCAGAACTTGAATGAGTGTGTATGTGGCTTCTTGTGATCATTGAGTCAGCCTCAAGTGGACACTGCAGGAACTGCAACATTCAGCACTTATTATTTTTGAAGACATGAGGTTGGTCTACACCCAGACCAGGACACTTAGCAAGACCAGATTAAAGACTTTAAAAAAAAAGTTAACTCAAAAAAGGTTTCATTGTGCAGACAGCCATGATGTGTTTCATCAGGTCTGTGGACACGTGTGTCCCAAACGGCACACATCCATACTAAATGCTTAAAAATTTGAGTATACTCAACTTTAAATGGAAAAAAGTATGGATAGAATGTGAAAATTGAGTACGCAAAAGTACCCGGATGACGTACTCAAATCAGTCAAGATTTTGAGTATGCAACTGTGGACGATCGCCCACAGTAAGAATGGCTGCGATTGGCTGTGGTGCCAGTGGGTCGGCGACACTCGGCCTGGGAGCTTTGTACAGATGTAAGTAATAAATTGCATTTATATTTTATATTATATTATATTATATATTAACATTTTATATATATTATATAAAAAATATTTAAAAAGTAGTTTTTTTGTAAATAGCTTCTTTCTAGTTTTAAATGCTTAATTTGTAAGTAATTTCTTTAGTTACCAGGTTCCGAATGTTTAATATGTAAATAGGGTTTCTTTAGTTTTCTTTTTCTAAATGTTTTTATATGTAAGTAGTTTGTTATTTTTCTGTTATGCACAATAAATGTTCAGACATGAGGAAAATCATGTCATCATTTTCGGTGAGTGTGTGGCGTGTCAGTATGCGATTTAAGACAGCACTGCACCTTGGAAACTCACACACTGCACAATCGAGTACATACTATGCTTAGTATACTTAATTTGAAAGTTCTATTGAGTTCTATTTTTTCCGGACGCCGGAGCATGGCGGATAAATTCAGCACAGATTAACCCGTGCTGGAAAGGAAGTCGGGCACAGACACAAAATAAAACACCCGGCTTCTTTTCAAAATAAAACACTCTAAGACGGCGGAGACGAACAAGTGAAAGGTTTTTAGACGTCATTTCACCCCGATGACACCATGGATGAGGAGATGCTGATTCTAGAAGTCTAGAAGTAGATTTCCTCCTCTGGAAGGACACAATCTACTGTATCTACGGTTAGTCTATGTGGCTAAAGACAACTTGTTATTGCGTGATTCCGTGGGTTCTTGTGAGTTCTCGCGATTACCGCTGTCCGTAATCCGCCACGAAATGCACCACACAAAACAGATCTGGTAGGAATTGGCGGACAGTGGAATCACCGCCGTTCCGGATCGGCACCGTTCTGGATGCGGTGAGAATTGGGGGTTAAACTGCAACAATCCTGCACAAACTGGGACGCCTAGTCACCATTATAAAAGACCACAATGGTCCATTTTAGGGTCTTGGCTCCTTGAATCTGTTTTCCCATGATTCATTGGGTCCTGAGTAAGCGTAATTTGTCTCCACATCAATTGGAAGAATGAAGCAGAAACTCTCTCAGCCGTCTAGTTATCGTCTGTGTTGTTCATTACATCTCCAGAAAAGCAGAAAACCATTTTTCAAGCAGCTTGTGTTTTACAATCCGAGTGATTTGTACCCAAACAGTCGCTCTGTGGGTGCAACGATCTACTATCTACCTCATTATCTCCCACATATCTGCCCATTGACGATGCTGTAGTTACCCTGCCATGCAGAGCGCTGAGCTCTGTAATGAGAGGAGTAAAGTTTTACGAGCGCGTCTTCTCCTTAATGGTGCTGTCGTCGTCGTCGTACATGCAGAGATGATTGTCTGCAGAAGAAGCGCTGCAGTTTTTCAGCTGTTAAAAAGTTGTTGTTGTTGACATAAGTTGGACTGTGACCATGAAGAAAGTGGGTCTAATGACTGAATCTGATTGGAGACTAAAGCGGACCTTCAATTAAGAGAAGGATCGGTGTTGGATGTGTTATCGAACCTTTAAGGAGGCCACCCGGGTTATGCAGCCATGAGGGGGAAAAAAACACGTTTACTGAACTCAAAACCCTTTAAAAAAAATAAACAAAGAGTTTCCATGTGACTTTGGTCTGTCAGCAGCGAGGTGGAGTTTACAGCGATGTTTTCCTCCTGCTTTATTGTTTACAGTCAGAGAGAGGAGCTGGATAAACACACTCCTGTTCGGTGGCTTCATCTGTCAGCATCCAGCTGCCCAATGTTTTATAATCACAGAGTTCATCAGCCGGATCATACATCAGCTCAAAAACAGAGGACGAAGTGATTTTCTCGTTTACTGATGAAGTGCAGGCGACTCCGGCAGAGTCCTGCGGTTTCAGCAAAAACGGTATTGTGATCTTTTCGGAGCTGGATTCACTCAAACCTCGTAGACTGAGTCTGAAAACAGGATTTCAGCTGCGCAACAATCGGCAAACTACTTATTCATACCGTTGATTTCATGATGGACAGAAATGTTTTTATGTTTAAGCCTCAGGACTCTTCTACAGAGCCAAATCCCTGACTGACATGGTTTTTTAAAGTGATTTTTTGTACCCAATCATTCAAATTTAAAGTGGAGTTGGCAGGAATCTGTTAAAGAAGCATCATTTTTGTGGTGTTTATACAAAAAAGCTTTTAATATCAGTCAATAGTTATTAGTTATTGATGACATTTGGTGATATCAGGATATCTCTGTGTTCTCTTATATCTGTGTAGTCAACATTTTGTAGTCAATCTCCTCTAACCTGATTGGTTGTGAGGCAGACGCTGCTCCCCCGTGTCGTTCAGGAGCCCAAACAAAGTTAGCGTGCTACAATATCGGACAGTAGAAACCAACCAGAAAGTTCGGAAAATTGTCTGAATCCTCCTTTGGCCACGACTGCCGACACAAGCAAGAAAACAAAGTAAATACCGGAGACTCTGGAGGAATAACGGGCGCTTAAAACGGAGGTAGACCGGACAAGAGCTAAAAAGCCGGGTCAACATAAACGATGGGGGACGCTTGGGGATCTTGGTGACCCTGTAACCTTTCTGCTGGACAGGTAAACCGCTTTAACAAAGTAAGACAAGTGTCTGTAACAGAAGTGTTTCTTGTCAAACGGACCTGCTGTAGCGTGTTGTAGCGCCATCGCTAAACTGTCCTCCCTCGGGTCCTGGACTATGTCACTTTATCCTCGTTGTAGAAGTCCTGCAAACATTGTGTTTGCTGGTAGTCTGTTGGCATCTACAGTAGCACCAATGCTTTTGACTTTCACCTTGACTGGGCCCCATTTGTAATGATCTGAAGGATTTATCTGCATTATATCTGAATTTAACTGGAACGATACGAGCGAGCAGGAGCGTCTGTTTGTGGGCGGGGCTTGAGGGGAGAGGAGGAGCTGAGGGGAAAACTGGTTGGTGTTTTATTCAGTTCAACAATTATAATCTAAGGGAAGTGATATTTTTCAAAATAAAAGCATAGTTTTACAACGCAAGAGATGACGCAACCTCAATGCAAGTTGGAAAAATTAACAAAATAAAAGCACGACAAACTATCGTATCAATATTAGAAATAGGTGATGAAATGATGAATTGACTGGTTTTATTTGTAAAGTGCTCCACCCTCAGTTTGACTGATTTTGTAGTTTTATTTTCAAGTTTTCCATGACTGTCGGTTAAAAAGTCAAAAAATGTACCTTTTCGTTTTTTCACATTTTAATTTTAAGGTGAACCGCCCATGTGTGTGAATTTCTTCTATCACCATCATTGATCATCTTTATCGAGCTGCCAGCATGTCCTACAGTGTACCACACACATGTGCACGTGCCAGCGTTGTTGGTACCAGCAGAAGCTTTGCAGCGTATGGATTACAAATAATTGAACTGTCATCTTTCCTGTCCTGACATGCAGACACCAAATCACACAGAGTCCTAACCTCCCACAATGAAAGGAAAAAAGAAAAAAGAAAAAAAGGTTGGCACAGGAGGCTCGTTCCTCCACCGCACAAAAGAAACCTCCCTGCCTTTCTCACCCCGAGAATAGACGACATCTAAATGTCATCGCCAAGGCAGGCCAAGCCTTTATTGGGATTGATGAGGAGCGACGTTCCCACTGTGATACACCATCCGTTGGTGAGGGGTAAAGGGGTTCACATGGACGGTTGCCCGCTGTGAGGTCCATCTGTGAGGGAGATGCTGCGGTGCTCGGCCTCTGCGCCTGTGGAGGAGATGGATCTGGTACAGGTGCCTCTGCCAGCATGGACCAATTACAATCAGAACCACATGCGCTCACAGGGACCTGCGCTCGCTTCCACCGAGGGCGCGCTTCAAAGCAAACAAGGAGGACGATGATGAAAGAGCGACACTTACTAATGTCGTTTTCTGTGATTTTTGTCTTTAATCCAAATGAGAATTAAAAGTCTATCACAGACGGACCTCCTCCTCCTTATAGACACCCTCTCACTTTATCCTGACCCGGCAAAAACAGACCCACAGGGCTCTAATTATCTCATCAAAACCTGTTTTATTTCATTATGTGAATTTACCTCCTGAAACACAAAAGGGTTGGGGGTTAATTAACAATTACAACAGGTCTCTGATTTAATAACCGTATTAGGAGGCAGACATGCATGCGCAGGGACTCACTGGAGATATGCAAGATTTAAGGCCTCAGAGGGACGACATCCCGAGAACCCGTTTTATCATCTATAGGGGACTCTGTCTGGATCCCTGGACTGCAGTGTGCTGGAGAAGTGTGCGTACGTGGATAGATTAGAGAGTCGTGGAGGTCAAAGTGGTTTTAATTCATGAGAAACAAGACGAGAAGTGAAAGACTCGGTTTGGTTTAGTAAAAGAAAAAGGCAAAATGACAAAAAGTTCGACTAAAGATTTTATGTGAGAAACAAGTCGAGTTACAACGAGGGCTGGGTTTGAAAGATTCCGACTCCGGTTCCTAATGATTCTCTATTTCGATTCTTTTAAAAGGCAGGATATGAAAATAAAAATGCATGGTTTCAGCGAGGGCGCTAACCAGAGTTCTATGAACTTTTTTAAGAACTAGATGATATAACTGTGTTGCTAATGTTGCTCTGAGATAAGAGTTCATTCTTCCTGATAAAGTTAGACAAACTTTTGACCGCCGTCGCTGTGGGTTGCAGTGCACTCTCTCTGTCTCTCCGAGTCCAACATCGGAACTTGGAATCGGGAGAATCAGAACGTTAGTCCCAGTCCCCATCGATGCTCGAGACCCGATGCCCGACCCTAGTTACAACAGGAAGTGACAGAACAGATTTTGGATTTACGTTTTTTTTTTCCCAGTGTGACATTATTTAGCTTCCCGACAGTTCCTGGACTCAATCTGCCAAATGCTGACACAAGCAATAACACGAAGTAAATACCGGAGACTCTGGAGGAATAACGGGCGCTTAAAACGGAGGTAGACCGGACAAGAGCTAAAAAGCCGGGTCAACATAAACGATGGGGGACGCTTGGGGATCTTGGTGACCCTGTAACCTTTCTGCTGGACAGGTAAACCGCTTTAACAAACTCAAACCAAGGAAGTAACGTTGTTGTTGTTGTTGTTGTTGTTGCTATGCGGGATTCTGATTGGCCAACGTGGGCTTGAACTTCCCGCTACACTGCCACCTACAGGTTTGGCATGCTCTTGAAGGCATAAACAGGGGTTTGTGTAAACTAAAACGTTTCTGAAAACATAGCGGTGAGCACGCAATTCATTTTGTAAACGGAGAGGGTGAAATGTCTGTTTATGAAAATAGCTGGGCATCATTTTCTCCATTTAGTAACTTGTTTGTAAAATATAATTTGCATCGTCAGGTAACATGGAGCTGCTTCTACACCCGACTAGAAAACCGCTTTGGTTAAAGATGTCTATAAATTCGTCTCAAAGTTTCCTGGACGACCTTCTCTTCTTTAAAATGTTCTTTCAACACCTCCATCTCAGGAGATCATATCAGAGTTAATCATAGTAAAACTGTCAGTAAAAATAACACCGTTATGTCAACATGAAGCTGCGGTATTGTTACAGGTACAGCCAGATATTGTGCAGCGCCGCTGAAGCAATAGACGCCAAATCCTCCGCTAAGCCTGGGTGGAGTCGGCCTGTCCGCGGTTCTCATGAGCCGTCTGCGGTAAGTCATGCAGACACCTGAAATGTGAAGCTCTGAAGGTGACAGACATCTGCGTCCAACTCTGAGGATAAATAAACACGACATTTCTTCTCCGAGACCAACCATGAAGATTCTCACGCGGTGACTCACTCGCCTCACGTTGCCTAACAGTCACTAAGCTCATGTGAAGAGACGTCGCAGGATGTCGCCGTGTTTTAAAACGGGAATAATCTCGACTATGATTCAGTGGTGTTGCCGTAAAGAGTGGATCA